TTTTTGAAATCACACACCCACTCTCTGGCTAGTATAGAAAGATTAAAAAGCTGATTCTCATCTGTGGGTGGTAACCTTTTTCTAAAAAATTTTCAGCTGCTTACAGAATAGATTGTTGATCAGCAGCATAGGAAAAATTTACATATTGAACATTCATTAGCCTGTGATCTAGATATGTTGTAATTGTGAGCATTTTGGCATAGTGTTGGTGCTGTGTACTAGCTATAAGAAACAGTACTACATTTCATCTTAAAATAATCAGGAGCACCATCAGGTGACCATGCTGTGACACCTTGCAGTGGTTGAGAGAATCTTAGGACCGCAAAACCCTGTAGTCTGTAGTTTGATGAAGAATCCCAGCGTCCTGGGCTGGTTGTTGACCGTTGTTACACTAAGCTGTGTGGTTCTCTATACTAGAATATTTGCCCTTTTCTGCAAGGTTTTTATGCAAATCATAAAACGTATGGCTGAAGGTTCAAGTTTAAACTCCTCAGAGTGACATTTATGGGCCGTTTATTAATTTGCTTATTAAATATTTATTGAGCCCTCATTTTGTTCCAGAATTTTTAAGTATTGAGCTATATTTTGGGAACAAAACAGACAAGACTTTTCTCCTCTCTAAGCTTTATTATGTGTGTATGGGAAGGAGGGAGGCACAATAAACAGGAGGCTAGACAAGATCCTTTCAGGGTTAGTTTCGTAAACTAGCACGTAAACTATTTTCCAAATAAACTTTGGTAGGGAAACTTGAATTTTATTTAATTTTTATACCCTGAAATATTCATTTCAGAATTTTCCCCTAACCATTTAAATATATAAAGCCATTCTTAGCTCAGAGACTACTCAAAAACATGGAGCAAGCTGGATTTGGCTTTTATGCAATAATCTGACTTTTTTGGGGGGAGACAGGGTCTTACTCTGTAGCCCAGGCTGGCCTTGAACTTAGCACCAATCCTCCTGCTGCAGCTTCTGGAGTGCTGGGATGACAGGCAGTCTGGCCTTTTGTAGAAGTGGTTTGTGACCCCCGATATGAACTATGAAGAAAACAAAACAAGCTGATGTGACAAGTGAGTGACTAGGGGGTGGGTGGACGGTTGGTGACTGAGGAGGCCTCATTTGAGAGAAGCAGTTTGCGCAGTGGCCTAAAGGGCAGAAGAGCTTCCCTGGCAGATGCAGCAGAGAGCAAGGTCTTAGGAGGAAAAGAGCTGCTCCTGTATCCCAGGCAAGGCACTTCCCACAGAGCGAGTGATTACAATATTGTCTGCGTTCCTTTTTCATTTTGTTGCTTTCAACTACTTGCCTTCCTCCTGTCGGGTTTTCAGAGTCTCCCCACTGTGGAACTGAGTTAAGGGAGCTCCTCACCCAGTAAACAACAACTTTCTCAGTGCTTTTCAGCTTCTGTGTGAACACCTTTAAGTGACTGAAAGTTTGTTACTTCGAGGCATCCTGTGCAGTTTCAGATCTAATTGTGGCAGTGTTTTCCATGCAGAATTTGGCCTTTCGACCCCAGAGGGAGCCTCATCCCAGAGTTAGGTCCCCAAACTAGTGCACCAGGCAGAAATCACAGAGGAGGGAAACTGT